GTGGCACAGCGGTATTTCTGCTGACTTACAACGTAGCTTTGTGCTTAATTAAAACAAAACAAAAACAAACAAATCATATTGCAACACCCCCACCCCCTATCGACCCACCTAGATACTACAGCCCTCGGGAAATGAAATTGATGTTACTGGGTGTGTTTTGTGATCGAATAAATAACAGAATTCATGAGTGTAAATTATAATATTATTATCTATCTTTCAATATTTTTTATATGCTGAATGTTTTAGGAGCTTTCAAAGATTCAGCAAAATTATATATATTTATAACGCATTTCAGAAAGTTGCTAAGCATGTATGACAAGGAGAAAAATCAAGAGTCGACAGCAGAAATAGTTTTCCTTAAAGATATGACATCATCCACATAAGGATCTGAAACTGAGGACAAGATAATCCTAGGTTTATTTATACAACAAACATGAACAAAACTTCCAATATGTACAAGTCGAAAGCTAAAAGTGTTAACACTAATTACCAGCCGAATAAGACAGAGATCGATATAAAATATTTATCACTTTGTGATATGGAATCCTTGATTGAAATTAGAAGTTACTTAGAATTTAAAAAGATGTTTAATACAGGTGGACGCCATACATAAAGGCTTATAAAAGGATATCTAGTGTAAGAATCCCATTTTCTATTTATCGCTTAAAACGAGATGATACCGAGAAGGTAAAAATTATTTTATTACTGGCTATGACGTCATCGACGATTAACAACGTCAAACTATACAGATAGGTTTTAATTATACAATATATTAAAGTGCAAATCTCTAATTTGATCTTAAGATTGTAACAATTTTGAATTGTCTCCCCAAACATCAGTTGATCTGTAACATTTTCCAAGCGGAAAACAATAGATAGATATGTATTGTAGAACAATAGATAGATATGTATTGTAGAATAATAGATAAATATGTATTGTAGAACAATAGATAAATACGTATTGTAGAACAATAGATAAATATGTATTTTAGAACAATAGATAAATATGTATTGTAGAACAATAGATAGATATGTATTGTAGAACAATAGATAATATGTATTGTAGAACAATAGATAAATATGTATTGTAGAACAATAGATAAATATGTATTGTAGAACAATAGATAAATATGTATTGTAGAACAATAAATAAATATGTATTGTAGAATTTCAGTTGCGTAACTGCTAAAGATCGAACAATAAACTGGGAGAATTTGCTCTAAGTTTTATGTCATAACAAACATTTCGAAACATTATTTACAAATTAAATAAATCAATCTTTTAATAAAAGCTTTACATGTAAAGTAACTTGATTTTGTAACATAATATTGATTTCTAAAATCCACGCTTGGAAAAACGCTAAATGCTCATCTACCTTGAAAGCTTCTGAAGACTAGTCTAACGGTTTTGTAATTTATACGACATGCTGCACATTTAATGGAATTTTACGAGGCTTCTTGAAGTGTAAGGTTAAAAAGACCGAGTTTCCTATTATTTCTAAGCCTATAAACTTGAAGTGAATCTGTTATAATTTTTTACTAGATTGCAAAGAGGTATGACTTTCATTTAATGAATTCATTTATATTTAGAAAAAAACTACAATAATGTAATCCTTTCTTATGGATTACCATAGCTACCTCCAGTCACTAGTGCTCGTTAACATCAATTGTTTTCCGTATGAGTGAATTACTGAACTCTTGTTTAATTATTTACTAAAATTTTGATTTCGCTCGCACTTTTGTAATCTTAAAATAAGCTGAAAACATTCTCATGATCTTATGTTTTTTGAAGTGTTCACTTAAGTTCAACGTGAAGCACCTTGTACTTTCATTCCCAAGAGGAGCGAACGTTATGGCAGATTGATTAACGTTAAAAATAAGCTGTAATAGAAAAGCATGAAATATTTCTTTAATTATTAATTCTCTTTAATATGTGCTTTGCAATACACTTCAGAAACATTAGCAGGAACACAGATAAAGGACTAATTAGGGTTAAGGAAACCCTTCATATTCACTAATTAGAGCCCGTTTTCAGCATTAACTATTCAACCTTATCACTTTATTTTTTAATATTAAAATGTAGATTTGTAATTTAATGTAAACTATATTACCAAAAATATTCGAATAGTACGCTTTGGGGAAAAGGGGTGTGCTGTTTCGTCACTAAGATTCCTTTTTAAAATGGAGTGGGCCAATCTTTAGAATTCAACCACAGATTGGATCTGATGCTAATACATGCCACCAATCTTTAGAATGCAACCACAGATTGGATCTGATGCTAATACATGCCACCAATCTTTAGAATTCAACCACAGATTGGATCTGATGCTAATACATGCCACCAATCTTTAGAATTCAACCACAGATTGGATCTGATGCTAATACATGCCACCAATCTTTAGAATTCAACCACAGATTGGATCTGATGCTAATACATGCCACCAATCTTTGTTTCGCAGTTTGAGAAATACAGTGAGAATTTCTTTGCCAAACAGTTTCAAATGTTGAAAGACGTCGCTTTCTACTGTTTTTATCAAAAGTTGGTGTTCCAAAACATCCTATGGTATTGCAGTTGAATTCAGGTCGAATATCTGGAATGACTAAAGCGTATTTTGGACGTTATGCATCTTAAACCATTACTGGACACAACATACAGCATGACGTCCTGCCTTATCATGATGAAAGTGGTACAGTCGTCACCAAGTAGTATTCCCTTAATGCAAGTAGTTATTTCATTGTTCATACTTTGTTAATAAAATAAAATATTCATATTCTTCTGACTGTGTATCGGATAAGGCGGAACGAACTAAAACAGGTCCACACCATGACAATACACATACAACGGTTGTGACAGCACAGTCGTATCTAGTACGCTTTACAGGTTGCCATCGAAGCCAGACCCACCACTCTCAGTCGGTGATCAAATCCTAACTTTTCAATAACTTAACCATTCCTTTCATCAAGCCCACTAACGTTTTCATTGTGTACAAACCAAACGTAGCATGACAATGGCAGGGTGGTAGGTACCACCTCAAAATGACGACAGTAAGAAAAATTCTAACTACGGCTTTAATATGAAGTTGTCTCTTGGGGTTGCTGGTCGTATGTTTGTATTCTATGCATTTTGTCATTTCAAAATAGAAATTAGCATTTATAAGATTATAGAAACTTAACCGCAGGATTAAATTTTATGATCTGTGCTTTTTACTGACTACATTTTGAAACTACTAACTAATCTAGCAATGTTAAATATTTGTCTTTAAAACTCATAACATAGGCGAATTAATATTTAATATCTGTGTTAAGAATTCCTTTGATAATCCTTGGTTTAAACCAAAACACAATAATTGAATTCCGCGTTTCAAACAGTGTTTTAACTTTTAATCTTTCATCATTGATTATTCTATCAGTTCGAATGCAAATTGGAATGAACAAAGGCTAGTAGTAGCTCCACATAACGATTTTTCTCAATGCACTATGAGAACCAACGCCTTACATTCACACCAGTGACAACCAGTTTAGAGCTAAAGCCCATACTTGAAATCCAGCAGCATGGGGCTCTCCACATAAAGTGGATGCACTGGCTCATAGTACCGAATTAGATCGAGGTGCCAGACATGAGGTTTCGTTTTATCACACATTTCAAACTTCGTATCGGCAGAGGTGAGTGATTAATGTTGGACATATCCAATGATATCCTAGATTATAATATTCATGAACGTTTCATTTCTTCGGCACTTTATCTGAGTAGGAAGCTGAATTGCCTCGGAAACTCATACCACTAAAACTTATCCAGTTGTCCTTGCTCTTTGAAGGAGTTTTAGTAAAATATTACATGGATATACAACGTATGTATTTACTACCCTGACATCGGCGATAAAGAGCCTTGTCCAGTTGTCTGAAATGTTTTATCAGTTTTAAGTAAATATGTAAAACTTGAATATACCTACTGGTATATTTTTCTTAACTTAAACAAAAACAAAAAACGACATTTAAATCTAGGCCTGAGATGCATGAATGCATTATCACGAACACCACATAGTATATATAGTGGCTTATAGACGGATACATTCATCAACAATAGGTTATTGGCTCCACATTCGGCATTACTTACAATTCAACTAAGAGACGTCAACAACCAACTAACAAGGTAACTATGGATCAACATGGGCAACAAACACATTGATAGGAAAAACTCATAATAATAACACTGTAATACAAGTAACTGTTTGCATTAGCTGTATCCAGTATCAACTCCAGAAGGAGGAGAACAATATTGTGGTTAAACACTGTTTCGAGAAGGGCAAAGTGGTACTTTTTAAGCTACACACCCAAAAAAAGGAACCAGCTACCTATTATAAATATATTTTTGTATTTTAAATTCGCATGGTTACAGATGCCGATAATTAGACAAAGGATCACCTTCCGGATGCTCTTCTTAATTAAACGCATATTATTAGCAGTAACATGAAGATACATGAAACATATTACACGTTTTCAATTACTTTGGACTTTTACTAAACATTTTGTTTTTGTATGACTGATCATAGAGAATAAGATGCCTTTCGTGTCACTTAAAAAAACGCCTTCAACAACTTTTACATTAAAACTTGGGTAAAAATGATAATTATGAAATTATACAAATCGGTGGGTTTTTGAACTGGAAATTCTGATATGGATGAGATTGGTGTAAAAACACGAAAACAGTCACTAAAATTAATCAATGAATAAATTAACTACTTTTGTTTTACGTCTACAAACAGGCTTTACATCAGGCATTATCATTAGGGTAAACTGGTGTATATTAACAATGCAGAATTCTACAGCTTATTGTGTAATTTAAAGCAAGAGTGATGGGAGGAAAATGAAAGCCTTGAATGTTAGTTGGTCTTCTCTGAGAACTACATTCGTCTCAATAAGATAGCATTCTCTACCATTAACCTAACTGATCTGTTCTCAGATGGTCTTGGCATGGGGTTTGCTATTAAGTGTCAGTAAATATATTTTACATTATAACTGTATATTTAATTTGTTTATCTCGTCTAGTTTTCTACAGTGATCACTTAGGTTGTGGGAAAAAATATTGGTGATTTTAGTTTATTCGTAAGTGACTTGAACTTATTAAGCCACACTAATCTTACGTATAGGCGTGCAGAGAGGAAGAACTATGGTGACGTTGGAAGAAGTACTACCTATACTATCAGAAGGGGCGGTGCTTGTCCGGCGATCACGTGATGTCCATAACAGTGATCTCACGTGTCCTTTAGTTCCAGTGTGAACTGCGTCGACGCTAAAACTTCTTGGAATCTGATGACGCCACCAGTCGGATGCTGAAGGACTTCTTATTCGCTTTCCTTCAGGTCGGTGATACTCGTTGAGAGAGTAGAGTTTGTGAGTAATATCTTTTCCAATAAGATTACGAAGAATAACTCTCATGAAAGGGTTGTTATTTAAAAAAAGCTCAAGTTCCCTCCTGGGCCAACGGATGTAACGGCAAGGTTCTATTGCCGAGAGAGTAACCTGTTAATTAAGAGAACAATATATAGTTTTTGAAAAGCAATAACACATAATCCTGAGATGTGTATAATTAGAAGGATATATAATTATGTGAGTATACTATAAATGATATTTCTAATCAATGTTACAGATATTAACACAACCTAGAAAATCAACTACAATCTTGAATAAAGAAGTCATTACTTATGTAGAGTCAAAATTTAGTCAATTATTCGAAAGCGCTCGAATTTTGGGTCTTTTTTAAAAAAAATTCGTTGCACCTTTTGTGTGTGATTCTATGTGCTAAGTCTTTTATCAGAATTAGAAAAGATTATATATTTTCGAAACTCATTCAATTGAAGTTCAGATATTGATTTCACGCTCAGTTTAAATGTAAAGTCTATCAAATATCTCAGTGACTCACATATCGATACTTCGAGGATTTTGTTAAATATCGCATTATTTATAATTCCACAAGAAAATATCAATAGTTGGTTGATAAACCATAATCTAATACAAAAGTATGGGATACCGCATATTTAATGCCTGTTACACAATCAAAATGAGTTTACAGACTTCCAAAAGAGTTTCTTTAAATTTGGAACTGTTGAAAAAAACAACAACACTGATCACGACAAACACTTTGAAATAATTTCGTTACGAGAAAACTACAAATTTATAAGATGTACGTGTTTTTATGGCATGTTTTAAGATGTAGTTAAAAACAACAATAAATCGGGTGTAACCTTGAAAAATGGTAAACAGGCTCGGTAATAAATTAAATGTTGCTACAGGCCTAAAACCAACAAAGAAATAAAAAGTGAGCATGTCGAATTTAAAATATTGCAAATTGTTTTTTCTTCTAATACAATCCTGTGAGTATACACCTACTTTATGCTTTATAAGGAGATATTCTTCTAATTTAATCTTTATAAAATTTTAAACAACGTTTCAGTTTTTTCATACCTACAAGTTTCAATGATCATTCTAATCCCAATATATGAAAGACTTTAATACTGGTAAACTACTGGTAGCCTCGAATATTCAGTACTGCAAGCAGATTCTGTTTTCAGCAACTTGGAGCGAAGAATCTCCTTGCATTAGCAATTCAAGCCAGATGAGATATTTTGAGCACATCTTTTTGGCAAGAAATCTTACACATCAGAAGAGAAGGTTATGGGAGACGAGGTTCCATAGAAGACGAAAAGCTTCGTTGGGGGGCAGATGAGAAGATACGTTAAGCATAAGTTATGGCATAAAGACAACTCGGAGAAATAGTGATTGTGGGAATATATGGTTCCGTGGAAAGCAAAAATGAAACATTTTAAGGGATGAATACAAAACATTAAAAAGAGATTTTTGTGGTGGATGCGGTTTCCTGGAAGGAACACAAAACTTGGTAGAGTGAGAAGGAACTACTGTAGGGAAGCTAATAGGACGAAAGATGTAGATCTGCGGCATGGTTTCGTTTATGTTTACCACTTACAATCAGATTTCATTATAGCACTAGTCAGATCGAACGAGAACTTATTGGTTTTACTGATTATAATAATGTTAAAGAGTAGAATAGGATATTTTTGTACTGTTCTAGAAATATAAAAAAATTAGGACTAATCTTGTTAATTAGAGTTATATCCTTGATATGATCCATTAATTTGTGCATGCAGAATTTACGTTATTCTTTTAAATGAAAAAGTTATATTAAATAAAATTAACTTATGGATTGTTTACTTATGAAGCTATATGTCATTAGTTGTTTTCTTTATTAATTTCCCCAAAGGGGGGGGGGCAATGGCCGCCTGTATGTGTCACCTGTTTTAACCACTCGCACCACTTTACAGTAGTCAAACAGTACACACTAAAATGACGTCACATAAGAGACGCTTAACGTTGCAATTTGTACTGTCGTGACGCCAGTAAAACGTGCGCATGCCATGAATCACGAGAAAAATTATGCACTCTGTAGGCTACAGCACAACATATCATATAAATTTAAATACGTTTTGGTCAAGTCTTTTTAGGTGTGAAATACAGTACGAGCTTTGATAGCTGAACAGTGTTCGATGTCACGTTCTAAAGAGCGTTGTAATGTTATTCCAGAATAAACTGAAAGAAAGAGTAGACGCCTGCAAGAATATTCATCTACTGTAAGAACCAATAGGATAAAATAAAGCTGAATACAATTTCATAAAATCATAAATTTTAACATTCTATGATTAATAACACATAACATAAAAAACAATAACGACCATTACGAGTAATGATTGCCAGCGAAAATAAATCTGAAAAATTTCGACGTTTCATTATTAAACCCCTCTCTATTTGTAGATTAGCAAGGCTCGGGGGGTATTTTTATTTTGTTTTCCATCTAGGAGTAGCAATATAAAACACATTTCACGACAAACGATGCTAAGATAACAAATTAGATTTATTGATTGAAGAAACTAAAAAGCAATTACGTTAAAATACTGGATTATAAGACCGGCAGAAAGTATAAAAACACGTGCAAATAAAGTGTTCTTTTTTTTTTTTTGCAACTAGAAACATTACAACTTGCTTAATTTTAAAATTGATACATACGTCAGTTTTAGATAGGTAGTCCACACTACAGTGTGTGTTATATTTTATCTGGCTGTCCTTTCTTTAAAGGCCAAAATTTCTACAGTGAAAATAGTTCCTGCAAGAAAAACTATTTTCTACTTAAGCCTGATATGGTTAAGTAGTTAACGTGTTTTGACTGTAAATCCAGGGATACATAGTTCGTGACACGTTGCCGTAAAAGCATGCTCCGCACTTTGAGGCCGTGGGTGCTCTGTCAGAGTAACAATTCAATTCCATTTTTCGATCCGACAAAAGTAGTCCATGAGGTAACAGTAGGTGTTGTTAATTAACTGTCTTCCCTCTAGTTTATGAATTCAAAATCAGGGACAGCTATGCGCATATAAACCTTGTGTAGCTTCGCGCTACATTTTGAAAAAAAACTAATGAAATCAGTTAAGCTATATTTTTTGAATTTTCTAAACAATACTTGTAAAGATTTTATGAAATATTAACATTTAAAGCAAATATAAGCCGTAACTTATCCAGTACTAAATTTGATATGTCTCACTATTCAGTATAGTGTCTTTCAAGTCACAATATGAAAAAAGTATCAACAAACAAAATAAAAACTTTGGCACTATGATGTGGTTTTTCTGGAGCTGATGTATAGTTCTATACACCACTGGTCCTAGAGTCCATTGGTCCTAAGTCCCATTGGTTCTAATTAGGATTAATCATACTAACATATGGTGAAGTCGTCTGACTTTGTAAATAAAAGTGGGTTTTTGGTTGTGAAAGCAAAAGAACTAAAGAGAAGGTAAAAGAATAAAAAGGCAAGTAATTGTAACATAGGAATGCCATGTATGCTTTGTGGTGTATCAAGTGATCACAATTGAGCAAGATTTATCCAGAAATTCTAGTGTAACCATTGACTAGATATAGCCACTGTCCCTACTGGGATGAAGTCCAGAATACTGACTTTACTTAGTGGAGGGAGAGGTATCTTTACTTTAAAACAATATCAATTCAGAGATACATTTAAAAATGATTATTGTTACGTATCTGATTGTTTGTTAATTTCCCTTAGAAATTCTTTCCGAGAAAGTTCAGCGATATAAGTCCTTTCTTGTTTAAAACTAGTTTATTCGTTCTTGATACAACCTTTTGTAATACACAGAATTTCAACAGTCACTTTAAACTTAACAATCTTTATAACATACGCTATAAATCACAGTGATTCACACACTTTACTTACGGTGCTTACTGTTCGCTTGACTCAATTATCTATCTCTTCAATCCCGCCAGGCTTATATACTAAAAAGATGGCGTCTCGATCAGACTAGAGTTGCCGGGCAAATTCATGATCCTTCGAGAAACTCCAGCGCGCATGCTCCCAGCGTCACGTGACTTCCGCTGTCGTAACATTATTATTATTATAATAAAATAATGAATGGGTCTTAGGTCTATAGACTTGGCACCGATTTTCTTTTCACTGCACTAATAAGTCGCTAGTTCGTGTTTGGAGTCTACTGAGAGGAGTTCAAACTTATCTATTGCATTGTGACTAAATTACCACACTGAGGCATTGAATAGATTGCTAGTAACTGGAACTGACACCCTAATCATTAACGATGACATTGATCTTGGAATGAAACAATACTTTTGCATTCAGCTCTCGTCATTTTAAACTAGATGAGTGCATATGACAACACAAGATGTCGTTGGAGAAGTAAGTAAACGCTAAAATATTTCCCCTTTGTAAAATAAATGTACGACAAATACCTCTAAGCTGTAATTTCTTTCGATCGCAAATGTAGCTGATTATAAAATATATCATCAAGATTAAACGTATATTTTTAAATGTCAAAATTATCTAGTACGTAAATGTATTTCTAAGTGGTCAATCAAAAAAGAAAGCAACTGTTGACCTTCAAGAAACCTTTGACCTAAACGAATTATAAATATAGCTAATTACAATCTTGTGAAACGGTTACCGTTGTTTTATGCAGGAAAACAAAGTATGTTAGTTACGTTATTAACGAATACTATAAGAACGTTTGATCGTGCGGATATGCTGCACAAAACAACGTAACTCTCACTGACGTAGGCACGTATACTGTCCCCCTCTAGAGCCCTTTCTTGAGTACATAAACTTGTTCCCCTCGAATATGTACCCCGTTAAAGCATTAACACTGGTACGTCTATCGGACACAATATATAACCTCGTTTTAGCCTTAAGAAATAAGTATGCAATAAAATCAATAATTGCAAAATATATACATATATATTAGTTAGCAAGTTTTGGAAATAAATATATTTATAATTATTTTACTTAATATTTCTTAAAATCTGAGAATATAATCATCTACGAAATATTGCAGGAAATTATCTCAAATGGAAATTTCAATTTGATTTGAGAAGTAAGGAAAAGTGAGGTAAAACGGCCACCCCTGTATATCATCAGTTATGACTTGTTGCAGCTA